TAACCATATCGGACACCTAACAAATTCCAGGGATTGGGATGTCTTTCACCTCATGACTTGCAGTCTAAGAAGCCCTTCTGTGCTGCCTGCTTGCCCTGCTGTAAATGTTTACACTGCCAGTCACAGAGGATGAGTTTTACCGCGGGGGTTGCACGTTCCCTGCAGCAACTTGAACCGTGTCGATGTTCACCACCAGCGAGTCCTGAGCCACGAATTTGAAACCTGCAGATGGGGTAATGGGACTCGTGTTTCTGGTGACACTTCCTCGGGGCTTTAGAGTGATGTGGTGATGGTTCAGTGTTTATTCAGATGGCCAAGTAATTAGTGTCAAGCCAATTTAATTGTTTGTATTGTAATACTTGGTTGGTTAGTGAAATGCCAACTGAAATTATCGGGAATGTGGTGGTGTATGCTTTAGTTTTTTATAGATTGTGTTACTGTTTCTGTTTCTTTGTCAAAAATTGGTTGTAGTAAGGCTATTAGATTTAAATGCCAGTTAATTTAATTTACACTGAATTTAGATTTTCTTTAGAAATTGGACTTTTTTTTTTTTTTTAATCCAGCCTTTTTTTTGTTCTTTTATCCCAGATAAGTTTTTGATTATCAGGTTTTATTAAAATACTGGTTTAAGAATGGGGAATGAAGTAACCCACTATTAGTGAGGGACTGGTGCAGGTAATGGTGAGGGGAAAAAGGAAAAGTAACTTCAGTGACCTCTGAAATACTAAGATATGGTAACTAAAGCTAATGCACACACAGAAAGACCTGAGTCATATGTTAATAATTAATCCTAAAATATGAGAAATCTAGAACTCTTTTACCTAAGACTTTAAAAAGAAAGAGGGTGACTATAGGTTTGTCAGTTAAAAAACTAAGCCTGTGGAAGGGGAGACTACTCTAGAATGTCCTAATGAACATATATAATTTACTATACATTAGGTTGTGGAGGATGGAAACTGTTCAACTTGCTGCACCTCATCCATCCCTGGGTAGAACTGGGAAGCTGGGAGGTGAAAAGCAGGGACAGGCAGCTTCTGGTGCTCCCAGAGTCTGGTTTATATAACACAGAAGCTACTTTTATTATAGTATTTGTTAATGTTCTGCCAGCTGGTTTGAATCATGGGTATCCTTAATGTTAGATTAGCAATTCCACAGGACACATTAATCCCTAAACCTGTGTGACAGTAAGGCAGGTGTGGTTTTTATGCTAAAATATTAAATACATTCAACTTGCTGCTTTTTAGCAACTGGAATGTAACATCTTTCTCAGACCTGGCAGTCTGAGCTTGTCAAACCACAGTTGTGATTTTTAGTTCAGTTACCCTTTAGAAAGCAAATGATGGCTTGTAAGTGGTAGGGCTGAGTTGATACTTTATACAGAAAGAGATGCTGAGTCAAAGCTGTGAAGTGGAGCTGTTGAACTATTCCTTCCCGATAAATGATAGAATGACTGTTTTGAACTTACTTTAAAACCGATTTTTGGGTTAATTACCAAAGACTTTTATGTCTCTTAAATTGTCCATCTACTTGCCGTGTCGTGTGAGAAAATGGATGGTTTTCATAAGTACAGTAAAGGGCACTTAACCCTGCCACTCTTGGCTAAGTGTACTTTACTGGATCTTAGCCTTTGAATCTCTTCTGCTCTGGAGAGTACTTGGATACACCTAAGAGGGTGAAAATTTTTATTTCAGTGTAGCATGACCAAAACTTGTCTCTACCTCACTTTTTTTTTTTTTTTTTTTCCCCATTTTAAATTAATTCCCTTT